CTGTGTTAATCATTTCTGCACCCCTGGGTGTGCCCGTCTCCAGCACCTACCTTGGAGAGAAGTGCTCAGTAAGTGTTTGGGCAATATGTATACACACAGGTGGGCCTTGCCTTAGGAGTTTTGCATTTGAAGAATTTCTCCCTCTCCTTTTTCATTCTGTCCTCCAACATACCCCCAGATATCAAAGAGCCCTCTTTTTCCTCTTCTTCACTAGTCACTTGGTATCCACTGCCCATTCTGAACACTGGAAGAATCCCCCTACAGATGCTCAACTAAGAAGCAGCATTAAAAGTAGAGGATCATATTTTCCAAACCTTAATATTGGAGCATGTGTTCTAACCAGTAGAAATTTACTTAGTAGTTAAAAGAAGTAATATTGGAAATCAGGACCATTCCTCAAAATCCAAAATGCATGGTTGTTGAAGCTCAAAGTGGGCGAGGAGGATGGAGTGTGTTGTAATCTTCCTCTAAGGCCCCAGCTTGCACTCTGGGCCAGCTCATTTCTCTGATCTCCCATGTCACTCTTCCTCCCAGGGGCTGCCCCAGCCACAGTGACCTCCTTTCAGTCCCTGAGACCAGACAAGCTTGATTCTGTCTCACGTGCTTTACACTGGCTCTTTCCTCTCCTTGGGACCCTCTTCCCTTGATCTTTGCAAAGCTCCCCTCTTCTTATCATTCACATCTCTGTCTAAAGGTCACCTTCTTGCTAAGGCTTTCCTTAATAGCCACGACCTCCAGTGGCACCTTGCCCCAGTCACTCTTAATTCTGATTCTATAACTCTTTTATTTTCTTCCTAGCATTTACTTCCACATGAAAGTATCTGAAGTGTTTACCGTCTATCTCCACCTCCACCTACACCCACAACAATGCAAGCTTCATAGGGCAGGTCTTTGCCAGTTTGTCTGTTCCCACATCCTAGCATCTAAAACCATGCCTGGGACATGGTAGGTGCCTGACAAAACCTTGTGAAATCCATGGATGAATACAGCTCCTTCCAGTACTTGATGCTGCTCTGTCATGTATCCTCAACTCCACAGGAGGACCTGCTCATGCAAGGCTACATCCACCCAAACATCTGCAGGAGAATGCACATCCATGGGAAAGAAGAACAGAAAGATCCTGGTTTGGGCTGCATGGGAAATGGACGTCAAAGCATAGAAGAGAGAGTGGAAACAGAATAAGAGACAGAGCTAAGCAAAAGAAATCTCGTTTAAAAAGGTGGGGGGGGGGGATTCGGGGATAATTTCTGGAATACTAAACGTGGACTGGTAGTCACAACAACCCAGACTCAGCTTTCCCGCAAACTCACTATGCAGCCTTGTGCCCTCATTGCTCTATTATGAGTTTCAAATGCCACACCTGTAAAATGAGAAAGCTGAAAGTTCCCTTCAGTCCTTTCCAGTGACCACTCTTTAGAAGGAGAATTAAAAGAGTATAATCTCTCCTACTTATAAGCTGCAGTCAGTAACCCCACCAAGAACTCAGTGAGATCAGTAAG